CCTCAATATACTACTCATTTGTCGTTACTTTCAGACGTATCAATGTGTACTGCTAGAACTAACACGTCACACAGTGTATGTATAAACAACTTCCTCTGGAAGTGGTATCATATTTGCATGCTTCATTCTTATACTTATCGACTTTGTAAAGTGTGATTAGCCTCAATATACTACTAATTTATCGTTACTTTCAGACGTATCAATGTGTACTGCTAGAACTAACATTTACTAACACGTCACATAGTGTATGTATAAACAACTTCCTCTGAAAGTGTTATTATATTTCCATGCTTTATTCTCATACTTATCGACTTTGTAAAGTGTGATTAGCCTCAATATACTACTCATTTATCGTTACTTTCAGACGTATCAATGTGTACTGCTAGAACTAACATTTACTAACACGTCACATAGTGTATGTATAAGCAACTTCCTCTGAAAGTGTTATTATATTTCCATGCTTTCAGCTTGCTCATACCGTTGACGTGGTTTCAGCGATGCATGGAAAGCCCGAGACTTTATGTGATGTGGGAAACGTGAAACCTAAAAGACAAGCAAAGGTACTGTCTGTAGAACTAACAAAACGTTTTCTGTATTTTTATAAACTTGTTACGGTTTATAAAATACATAATTTATTTGTTTTTGCTAAAAGTATCCATGTAACTTTCTCCCCTTTTTTAGATCACAGAGGCGATGTATAATAACATCTTAGGATATACACTATATATATATATTATTTGAGGGTGTTTCTAATACATTGCTATGTTTGAAATAACTTTCAATAAACTGTGAATTCGAATTAACTGTTGGAAAACAAAAGCAAATGATAAGAAACGAGACCTAAAGAAGAAGACACAAAAGTCGTGAATAGAACACAGAATCGGTAAAATATGCCGAAAAGACAATTATGAGTGATGCAGCCCTCGGAATAGATACGAACACAACTTGAGAAACATAAGGTATTTAGTGTGTGTTACGACGTACTTAACGGTATTGTTTCAGTCATAGATTTAAAACATGTAACTGCATGCAGTTTACCACTGAGACCGAGCGAGTCCCAGTGATTTAACCAATGAGATGTTTCGCAAAACGTTGTATGTAGTGACTACTGTAGATTAAAGCGGGTGTTTTTCATGTAACTATGTTTCAAGCTCTTTTCATGTTACCAGAGAGCATAATGTCGAATTTTTTCGTGCAACAGGTCCTCCAGGTCCTCCAGAGGAACATTGGGATAGTTGAAACACAAATAGAAGCTCTACGTGCCACAAAAGACTACTGTGATAGATCTTTGCAACAGGTAAATAATGTTTTGAAATTGTTCAATTTACAACAAAAAAAAACTAAAAAAATAGGTAATAAAATTTTTATGTAGATCTTAATATCAGCACAATTCCTAAAAAGTCTCAAAATTTACATTTTTTTAAACAGAAAAGAAACAATTCGTTTCAACGAGTATCTGACTCGCCATCATTATGGTCAAAACATCTAGTATAAGGAGACTCGAATATCATTAAATTATCAAACCATTCAAATCAAGACACAAAGTAGTGTTTCTTGCAGCCACAATAACCTGCAGGACACACTGTGTGTTATTAACAAGAGTGATAGTTTAGCGACTCCACATACCAAATTTCAAATGAAATCCTTCAAGAAACACACGAGATATAAAGTCTCCAAGTTGGATTGAAGTTTTTCTTTTTCTACCAACCGAAAGTACAGAAACTTTATTTGATAGAAAAACACTTATCTTTCTGGTATTGTTTTCAAATTTGGTGAACTGATAGATATTTAAAACCTACAATTAGTTGTCAAATTTGGTCTAAAAATAAGCAACATATGCAAAGTTATTCAACAAAAACCATTCAATTTTGACCAAAATTTTGGGCACGAACCGCCTAAACGTCGTGTTAGTGTAGCCTATATAATGTGTAAAGTTTAGTATACTCTGATACCTTGGCACACGACGAAACACACATTCGGCATGTAATGCTGTTTGAATACAAGAAGGAAAACAATGCCTCTGCAGCCACAAAGAATATCAAAGAAGTTTATGGAAATGTTTTGCACGTTCGTAAGATGGTTCAGCAAATTTTGTTCAGGTGACTTTAGCCTTAAAAACTGTGATGACAGGCGCCGAAATGTTAAAATTGATATTGATGCTCTGAAGACCCAAGTCAACACACTCGTGAAATGGCCCTGAAATTACATGTCTCTCATGAAACAATACGTAAACATCTGAAGAATATGGGAAAACTCCATAAAGAAGGTGTTTGGGTGCCTCACGAACTCTTCCATGATCATCGTTTCCAACGTGTGACCATTGCTTCATCTCTTCTGGTGCATAATGCGCATGAACCATTTTTGGACAGAATTATCACTGATGATGAAAAATAAATGCTCTATGCGAATATTAAATACCAAAAACAATGGCTCAGTCCTAGACAAAAACCACTTATGACCCCAAAACCTGAAC